AATTCAGTGGAGAGACAACTTTTGGTTTCATTCTATTTTCATTTTAAATAGAATCAAGCCAATAATGTCGAACAATATCCTCCCACACAAAAACGGCAAAACTGGGAAGAAGGTTGGGTGACATTGATTAAAATTAAAATAACAAAAATAATCATACTTTTAACTAAATAACTTATCTCCAGTTTCTTGTGTTCCAAACCTTACTTTTAGATACAAAAACAAAATGCTTCAGCACTTCGAAAATCTGTTAAAGTGATAAAGCAAAAGCAACAGAGCCTCACCTTCTGAGTCATCTTCCACACCCACTAAAAGGAAAAACGTATTATGCTCTAATAATTAACAAGGGAATTATTGGCTGGCCAAAAAAAAAAAGGGTTAGTGAGGAGTTTACTCCTTTTTCCCCCGCTTTTAGCCCCCTGCAATGCGCTGGACATTTGTTAAATTTTTTAAGGATTGGGGTTCGGTTAAATGATAAAAATGTACTTTCCTTTTGTGTTTTTCAAAGAGAAATTAGATTGTTTTTCATCTTATTCATAAGGGAAAAAAATCCTTTGTTTTTTGCATTTATTAAAATTTCTTTTCATACTCTCATTAATAAGTGAACCATCATCCAATTAACAAACCATAATCGATTTCCTTAATATCATTATTAAATAAATGATGGCATTTCTGAAATTAAAATTACATCTCTAACTATTATGAATGCCAATGTTCTCATTAAAACTTATTAATTTTTACAATTTAACAATTTGTTATTACCCCATAGTTATTTTATTTCACAATTGATTATTCTGTGTGCCCGTGTATTTATAAGTTAATTTAATAACAACTTGCTATTTTCTTACAATTTAAATTTTTTTATTAGTTTATTACCCTCCTATGTACTTTATTCAAAAGGTTATTCAATGATGCGATGATTTTTATAGTTTCCTTTGTTAAAGTTTACACAGATAAATAATGAATAGCAAGACCGCGGCAGAAGCACAGAAAGTTCAACAATTAAACTATTTCTTCGGGAAAGGAAAGAAGTTGGCTGGCAGGCAATATATAGTTGAATATTTTATGGTTTTCTTTATCTGATAGTGGAAATCATCTTTGTATTGGATTGATATGATTTGAGAATAATCTTGAGACTGTTTTAAGAAATAAAAATTAAGGAAACGTACGTGTTAATGCGTGCAACCTTGAAGACATTTGTATTATAGGGAATACTGCTGCTGGAGCTATTGCTATACTAATGTTTACAGTCTTTGCGAGTGCACTTGCGTATTGTAAGAAGAGAATAACGCAACATTATTCCTTTGATGTTCCAGGTAAGTTTAAGGATAATGGAAAAGATGGTATACATGATGATTGATTTATATGACAACCATAATTTATTCATCAAGATTTTGCCCTTTTACTGGCGGCAGCCGAGGAGCATCCTAAAATTCACCTTAGTCAGCTTAGAAAGTTTTCACTGCGTGAGCTGCAAGATGCAACGGACAACTTTAGTAACAAAACCATTGTGGGTACAAACTAAAGTGGAAGGCGCTCAGTTTGGAGAGCTGCAATTTCAAACAGAAGTACAAATTATGAGCTTGACAGTCCACCGTAATTTGCTGCGGCTACTTGGTTTTTTGCAAGACACCAATTGAACGTACGGTTGCTTGTGTATCCTTTCATGGCTAACGGCAGTCTGGCATCATGGTTACGAGGTATCCCTTAACAGTTTAACTTCAATTTCAAACTCATTTGTTGTTTATCTTTATTTATTGTTAATCAAATATAAAGTCCCCCACTGAACATGTTGTGGTTGTTGCGATAAATGTGTAATTCGGAATCTACTCCACAAGTGACCATCACTTGAGTTACACTGTACTTCCTCTTATCTGTAATATAAGAAGTTGGTTAACTTCATATCTAGCCCATACTCCCACTGGCCTAGTCCATTCCACTCAAGACCTGTATCATTCCTTGTATTTATACCTACAATTGAGATTCTAATCAACAACAGTTGGTTCAGTTGGTAAGGAGTCAATCTAGATCACACAAGGCTATATATGAGTTTGAATCTCATTGCGGATATGAAGATCTTGTTAGCAGGTGATCTATAAGTATCTTTGTAAGTGTTCGTTGAGCTTAGAGGGATGCCTTGGTTCTAGTAAGCCCCCAGACTTAACTTACATAAAATTTTTTTTGTATTAAAAAAAAACTCCATATTCTAGATTCACCTTAAACCTGTTTCTTTTTTGGGTGAAATAAGTTCACTTTAAAAAGAAATATACGTAACTCTAAAGATTTCCCCAGTATTTGCTTCATGGTACTGAACGTCTGTGTCAGCATTAAATGGGATTTATCTAAATGCGTATAACATCGAAGTCACAATACTTGTGGGAAAGCCGAAGTCTTGTACATGTGAAGGAGATGAAAAGTAAGTGTGAGGTGGTGTCACCGCCAAAAAAAAAAAAAAAAGCAAGCGTGAGGTGGGAACTAGATCTTAGGATAATCCCTTTGGCTCATTTTTATGACATCCCAAAATTTAAATTAGTTTGTTTTTTATTTTATAAAATTCTATTTAGAGTTGTCTAAACATTAAATGTGTTTTTATCATTTTTGTCCCTAATTAATTTTCTATTCTCTCTCCTTATCTTTTTTTTCTTGCCAGCTATCTTTTTCCCATATTACATATTTTCTTTCTTCCTATATCTCATTATTAGTATTTCTCTCTCTTATTTACTTCCTTACTAAATGAGCACATATTAGGGGGGAAAAATAGGTTCAATTTTTACATATATATTGTTTTTAATTAACTTTAACTGTTTTCTCAAATTATGTAATTTAATTAAAAGAATGTTATAAAAACGTCCCCCCCCCCCCGGGGGCGTTTCTGAGGTGAAGAATTGACAGACAAGGGATTCTAAACATCGGCGATTTCAGCTCACTATGTCTTCCACTTTTGTCTCTTTTATTATTAACCATTTAAAGCTTTTAAAAGGGGAGTGAGAATGAGATCCTGCACGTCAATCAAATTAACATTAAATGTAAATGTCACCTATGATTCCATTATCTAAAAAAACATGAAATTAATGAATCCATGCATGAATATTTCTAGTATTAATGAAAATTATCGAGGTTATTTAATATCTGGCACCTATTGTTTGAGACTTCCTGATTACTCTCTGAAGCACTTATTAGTTCATAATACAATAGCAGCGCATGAAACCGCTGTTATTTTTCAACTCAATATATATCCGTACGTGGTGATTGCTAAATATCTCTAATAAAAAATTAAGTAAAATCTACTGGTTTTCTAGTTAATCTATGTATTTAATATATAATGAAAAAAAATTTCAATTTCTTTCCTCCCCAGTGAATTATTCATTAAATTAAAAAATTTTGTGATCGTCCTTAAATCTTTGTAACTACCACGCATAGTCAGCATAAAAGACAGCCCTTATGTCTCTCCTAAGGACTTGTGATCATTACAAGAAGTTAAAAATCTTCAAATCAAGAGGAACATAGCTACTGATCCCTGCTTAATGATCTTGGTTCGCCTTCATAATTCTTCTGATCAAGGATAACGTCCCATCCTTGTCTTCCTTTGCTTTCCCCTGAGCCATTTGCGATTATATTTGAGGTATAGATGGATCCCATAATTAACTCTTAATGCCTTTATTTGCGTGAGAGAGAGTAGTTTAAGTCAGTAACTAATTAAAGACCACTTTCGTGCTTACATAGTAGCAACTCAAGCATGAAAACACAAGCCTCTATGACTGGTAAAACAGATATGCATGATCAAAGAGTAGTTTAAGCCTTTAAGGGGTTATTTTGCAGCACTCAGTGGGTATTAACTCCTGTCCTTAAGGTAAGAGCTAGTTTGACATTTAATTTGATTCTAAATATAAGACTTTAATTTATTTTATCTCTCATATTTATCTATTTTTTTAAAATAATCCTTATAGTAATTGCACATATTAAATGTTTCATTAAATGGTAGTTTTGATTAATATACATTATTAATAAGGATATTTTAAGAAAAACAATACTTATTTATTATAAATAACAAAATTAATTTTCTTAATTTAATCGAATTAGTCAATTAGCCCTTTATGTTAAGGACTAGGGGCTAATAATTTTTTTTTTCAAGAATTAACACAATAATCACCGTCAGAATTTTCGCGCGCGTGTGTGTGTCTGTGTGTGTTTGTAGTAACCACAACTTACCTATTATCCCAACGTTTGATTTTTCATCTCCATATATCAATGGTCCAGCCCCGTATATACTTTCAGCCAAGAGTTTCAATTCCTTATTTCAATACATCATAACAACAAACATTGATTTTAATTACTATCATGGTACAAGAATTCATATGAAATTAAAGATTATGAAAATAGCAAGATTAGATCAGGGGCTTACAAAAATCACCCATCTTATAAACCAAGACCATACTTTAATTTCAGCTCCCTTAATTCCCCTGAGATGGATCAAAAACCGAAATACTCATTAAACGATAAATCATACAGATGCAGACAAATCAACATTGAAGATATTGAATTAACCTTACTCTTTGAACTCAAACTCCAGAGATTATTCAACTCTTACTTTTTCAAATCACAATTTACCAAGTCAATTTAGAAATGAAATTAAATGTGAAATGGGTTATTCTCTTCTTCTTTTTTTTAATCAAACAGGTTATTAATTTAATTGGGTGGGTCAGGATTTGGGTAATGAGTCAAGGTTTTGGGTCATTCAAAAACAAAGCCCAAGTAACATTAAAAAATCGAAGAAGAAGGAAGTATTTTCTAGACAAGTGGATCTTGTATGACGTCTGTGTCGTGAAATAAAGTATAATGATGCCAAATTGCCAAATGCGAGTGACAAAAGTGGAGGACAGTATAGTGACAGATAATACATGGTAACGATTTTTTAAAAAAAAAATTTCCCAAAAAATTGGTGAAAATCCCTTTTTAAAAATTTTGTTGGCCAAAATAATCTAAATACTAATATTATAAAGGATTCATACCTGAAAAAACACCCATATTCAAATTTAGGTCATTCTGATCAATAAAATTTTTAAATATTGACTTTTTCTTGATTTTTTCTGTTGCTGTTTTGCTCAACAAATAAAAAAGTAAAGGTAAAAAAAAAAGAGACGAGTGCCATAACCTACAGCCTTGTACCTGTCATTCTTCACCTCTTCTTCCTTTTAACGAAGCCCTGCAATATTATATACATGGAAAGAAATATTAAAACTTTTTTCAGAATAAACATATGAAAATCTATACGACAATCCCAATTGAGGGGGAAAAAAATTACAAACCTGCCTTCTTACCAATGATTTAACATTATCGAGTGATACTTAGTGTAGTTCCTTCATCGCATACCAGATAGATTAAAGTCTTCTTTACAATATGCTTCTGGGCAAAATTGACTGTAATTTCCACCTCATTATCAGGCTCTAGATTAAGTATTATTTTGTGCCAGTCATCATCAGCAGAAGTCGCTGCATCATCTCTCTTGTAAAAGTCCATAGTACCCTTTGTGAAATTCTTTATCATGAAGCCAACAGGATATACGGATGCCATGCTATCTTGAGAAGATGAATAGATAATATAGATTACCATTCCCATCAAACAACCCAAAACTCGAGGCGTTTTAAATGATGCAGAAGATCCTTCACTCTCAAAACATAGCCAATCAGGATAATTATCTTGAGGAAGCTGAGAATAGTCAAACCCTCCGTCACTCCATCCCTAATCCATCAACAAGGAAAAAGAATTGAGAATAGAGGAAATATAATAGTACTACTTCCGGTCCTTAATATAAGACCCCATTTGACTTTTTGTTTGGTCCTAATTATAAGACCCCAATCCATTTTGTCTCTCATATTTATGTATTTTTTTCCAAGATAGTCCTTCTAATAATGATAATTCTAGCCAATACACTTAATTAGCAAGGATATTTTAGGAATGACAATACTTTTTTATTACAAATAACTAACTTAACTTACTTCCTTAATCTCCTCAAATAAGTCAACTGGGTCTTATAATTAGGACTGGAGGTAGTATAATACTCACACTAACGAAAATCATCATGCTGATTTAATTGAAAATACATTAATGGCGGTTTCTAAAGAAATTACCTGTGAAATACTGTTTAAAAGTGCATCCATAACTTTGTTGAAGCCGCCTAAATGAATAGTTAAAGAACTCAATGGCTCTAACCTTTCCATGTGAGATTTCTCTTGAAAACCAATTAACCCTTGAGTTCTACATGAATCTTGAGATGTGCTGGGTCTTGCTTCTAATACTTTACGGCTTCTGGCAAATAAAGGATGTGATAGACCCTTGATTAAAGATGGCATAATCGTAAATGCTCGTAGCAGGGACTTCGAATGAACTGTCGGTGACATCCAAGACATAACAATCGATGGAAATACATCGCGCGATAATCCTTCGAAGCCACATAGTGACACAAATTTAATACTTTTCATTCTCACTAATGAGGAGGGAACTTGTGTAATAGAAGTTTGATTTGCCACCAAAGTTGTCAAGGATTCCATTTGCCCAATGTCTTCTTTCAACTTTTCAATCTTTGAACAACCAGAAAGATTGAGAGTTTTCAAAGATTTTAAGTTATATATACCTCTTGGGAGATGATTAAGGTCTTTGCAGTCCTTTAAATTTAACAGAACAATGTATTTAAGATCTCCAATGGAGGGGTGAATCGAAAACACAAGCGGACAATCTTTGAGTATTAGCTTTTCAAGATATGGTAACTTTGAAAAATCAGGTGTCTTTGTCAAATGATGACAATGACTCAAATTGAGAATTTTCAACCACTCTAGCCTCTGCACCAAGAGAACATTTTAAAACAAATAAACACAATGAATGGAAAGAATAAAACATATGGAAACAAATTAACATGACAATTGCTGCTAGTGTCTAATTTGAAAATTTCATTGTAAATACCTGACTTTTCTCCCATACTTTTGTGAGATTACTCCACTTTAAGTCTATGGCAACTATCTTTTCGAGACTTAAATTTGCTGGCAAGTTTTCTAAGGGAAATCCATGCCAACACAGCCATCTTAAGTCCTTTGATAGATAACCAAAGTCTCCAGTAAGTTGTACATGATCAAGTTGGAGCAAACGAAGCTTCTTCATGTTCTCAAATGCTTTGGCACTCAATGGTCCTAAATTGTTTGTTGACATGTTCAAAGCCAATCCCTTAATCGCTATTGTTCCCTATTAAAATGGAAATAACGGGGAATAAAAATAAATGATATTTCAGTTACCGAAACATAACATATATAATAAACAAGCAATATGATAAATGTTTGAACACGCAATAGTTAACTAAAAAATGGAACTGCAAAACGATAATGAAAAAAACAACATAAATTAAACAATATAAGTCATTGAGAGACATTCTCACCGTGCAATTTCTTAGCACATCTAGCACATCATCATGAGACCATAATCTGCTCTGCTTCTCAGGATCCTCTGGTGATTGCTCACGAATGATGTGTCTTCCCATATCACGTAGTAAGTCATGCATATCAAGCTTATTTTTCTTGCCAACTTTTATGAGGCTCCTCTCTACGAGACGAATAATTCCAATATCAGCATGAAGTCCACAACCATTTAATATTTGTGTAGCATAGATTTTGTCCTTCCCAATAAAAAAACAACATATATCAAGGAATATATCTCTCTCTGTTTGGTCACTCAAACCATCATAACTTATTTTTAGCTTTTCATGTATTTTATCATTTGGAATTTTTTGTAGTTTTTGTATGTATTTTATCATTTGGAATTTTTTGTAGTTTTTGTAGAACACTTTCCCATATCAATGCTTCCCTATCAAATAAATAGGAGCCAAGAACTTCAAGAGCTAGCGGTAAACCTCCTGAGTAAGAAACTATCCTCCTTGAAAATTCAACATAATCTCTTTCAGGGAATCGTTGCTTAAACGCATGCCAACTAAAAAGCTCAAGAGATTCACTATCATTCATTTCTTTCATGTTGTATATCTTATGATCTTCCACTCCAAGGATCTTGAGTAGCCGTTCATCTCTAGTAGTGATGAGTATTCTACTACCTCTACCAAACCATTCATGATTTCCACATAAAGCTTTCAACTGATCATCATTATTTACATCATCAAGAACAATAAGTACTCTTTTCTTACAAAGCATTTGCTTGATTAGAGTTGTCCCCATTTCTATACTTGTGAGCTTCACTCTTCTTGCATTAAAGATGCTTGAAAGAATTTGTTTTTGAAGATAAACTTGACCATTATCTTGCTTCCACACTTCCCTCACATTTGAGAGGAAACACTTTCCTTCAAATGTTTGACCAATTTCATTGAAGATCGCTTTAGCAATAGTAGTCTTGCCAATCCCGCCCATCCCCCATATCCCTGCTATGATAACCTCATTTGATTTATTAATCAGCAACTTGATGATATCTTGCACACGAGGCTCCACTCCCACTGGATGGTGAGCAACAAACAAGTCTTTGCTGTCTAGCTTCATTGTTATAGTTTCAACCACATCGTCAATCAACTCCGTTTCAGTTCTGGCAAAAACAAGTTACATTTATATCAGGGTCAATCTTGGCGTTTAATTATTAAGCTTGGAGACTAACAACTCTCAATTTCCTCTTAACATAGATGTTAGCTAAAATTTTGTTTAAAGGTATTTGTTATGTATGACCTAAATTCAAACCCTTCTTCTGACGCATCTTCTGTAAGAAAATTACAAAAACCTTTCTTTTTAAGATTCATTCAGTGCTCATTGTGTGATTTGTAAGAGTAAGCAGCTTGATCATTTATAATATCCCAGTTACAACCAAGTATTTTCTTTACCCAATGACATTGTTTTCATATGTAGAAGCGCAGATTACCAGTAGGAAATTAAGGACTTTAACGATGTCATATAGTAACAAGCAAAAGATAATCAAACTTGTTGACTGAAAAAGAATGGTAATCAGATTTACCTACATTCATGCATGTCCCACCCAGATATATTCGCAGCTTCAATGAGTGCTCTCTTCCAATTGATCATCGATTTCTTCACTTTGCTAGTTGAGTTTCTTAGTGTGAGTCTTTTCCATGCTTCTCCAAAAATATTTTGTAGTTTACGAACTTCAGATGGTTGCACATCATAAAATATTGGTAAGACCTCTTGATGAGTTGTTTTGTGACACTCCATGATTTTCTCTAATTCTTGTAAACACCAACTAGAACCAGCATAATTTTTTGAGAATATAATTATCGACATTCTTGAACTTTCAATTGCTTGCAGTAAAGAGGAAGAAATGGCTTCACCCCTTCCAATCCCCTCTTCATCCATGAAGACCTCAATACCTGCTTTCTTTAAAGCAGTGCAAAGATGAGTAGTAAAAGATTTACGTGTATCTTCACCTCTAAAACTCAAGAATACATCATAGATATATTCATGCTTTATCTTTTTAGGACTGATTTCTCTTCCTATCTCTCGCAACAAATGATGAACATCAAGCTTATCACTCATATCAACTTTTACAAGTCCCCGCTCTATAATCTCATGCATTGCCTTTTCTACAGGAGATTTTGAGCCCTTTAACAATTGTGTAACATCATGTTTATTTAGACCCACATAAAAGGAAGCTATATTATAGAATAAATCTTTCTCTGAATCGGTTAAAAAATTCAAGCTTATCTTGAGCTTCTCTTTTATTTGACCACGAGGAATTCCTCTCAATTTCTTCAACACATTATTCCACTCTTTTTTTGTCCTATTAAGCAAAAGAGAGCCAATAACTTCAAGAGCTAATGGTAGTCCTTCACAAAAATTTATTGCTTTCCCTGACAGAGACATGAAATCATCTGTTGGACTAGATTTCTTAAATGCATGCCAGCTGAAAAGCTCAAGAGACTCACTCTCATCCAGCGCCTTCATTTCATAAAAGTAGAGTCCGAGGCCAAGAATTAGATCCTTACTTGTTGACGTAACAAGTACTAAACTCCTTTTGCCAAAGCACAGATCCCTACTCCCACATAATGCTATGAGTTGGTCTATATGATTCACATCATCAAACACTACCAGTACACTTTTATTGGACAGTGCCTCCTTCATTTGACTAGCTCCCATCTTAACATCATGAACCATATCAAGTTCTGTATCGAAAACATCTGAAATAAGTTGCTGTCGTAGATGAACTAGACCGTTATCTTTTTTCCATTCATCATTGATATTTGCAAGGAAACTTTTTCTCTCAAACCTGCCACAAATTCTATCGTAAATAGCTCTGGCAAAAGTAGTTTTACCAATACTTGGAACCCCCCATATTCCGATGGAATAAGTCCCATCCATCAACAGACGAAGTACATCTTTCACACTACGGAGTAGTAACCCCACTGGATGGGGCGGAAGATTGCAAAACAAGTATCTATATAATGCCCCCTTAAGTGTACTCATATCTTCCCTGGACAAAAACATTTCACAATCAGTAAAAAATTACGTAAGCGCATGTGTAGGTATCTGCTGGAATGTACCCAGTTCAGTCCAAGCCCAATATAGGCGGGGCTTATATGCTACTAAAGAAAAGCACATGGGTGGAAAGAGGAAGTTTTACCTTATTGATTTAAAATTCAAATTGTAATAATTTCTCATATGTGAGTCATAGGTTTACGTAAATTGAGAGAGTCAGTTTTGCACACGGGTGATTTTGAGTAACTTCTCCTGAGCACTCTCGTCTTCTCTCTTTCTCATCGTCATTGGTGAATTTGCTGTATAGTATAATGGACTCTGTGATTTCATGTGCGCATAGAATTTGATTAACGAAGTTTACTCTTTCACTTAACATATTAAGTTTAATGATAGTTCAGTTCTATGTAATTAGTTTCAAAATGACCCATCAATGCTTTAAGATGAACTTTAAATTCCTCAGAAGCAGAAATTTTTTCTAATTAGGAACTAATAATTAAGGACTTTGAATACAGTTACTTATATCAACTTTTCACATGATCCAAATGGAGGAGTCTTCCACTAGGCTCTGCAGTTAGTTGCAGGTAAACCTGTTCGGAGGAGCTTTTCCGAAGTTAATCTGCATGATGTTTCTTTTCAATTTTATATAAATTCCACGTGACACGGAATCTTTTTTTTTTTTTTTTTGCACGTTGGATGACCGAATTAGTGTTGGGCAGACTCATATTGTTTAAAAAAGTGAAAAGAGCAGGGATTGAGTCATAAATAAGTCAAAAATTTAGGGATCAAGGCATATCAGGTCATAATTAAAGAATCCGGTTATAATTGAATTAAAAATTGAAGAACTAAAAAATAAATTTTTTTCTCATATACATAATATATTAGGCTTTTTATAAAAAAATCCGAAGTGACTCACGTTGCTATAGTTTTTTTTTTTTTTAAGGTGATACTCACGTTGCTTTACTTTGCCATTAGCTCGTTCCCTTCATCTATTTTTTCATGTTTTCCTTATATTGTTCATTTACGTTATTTGAATATTCAACTTTTTTTATATTTATACTTCTACTTATTTATCTTTTTAATTTAGTTCTAATAACCTTCGTAAAAGTGCCTAATGTTTTGCTTCTCCTCCTCCTCCTTTCTCCTTGATCTTTGCTGATTTATTTTGCTTAAGCCTTGGACTATTCTTCTAATGTAAGCACAAATCTTCAATCTTTACACTTCTAATTATTTATTTATATTTTTTTTGTTTCAAACTTTATACTTGTAATTTAGTTTTAACAAGTCCCTTAACGTGGACAATGCTTGACTCCCAATATTTTATCATTTTTCATTTATCACTGCATTTAAAAGTGAGTCATCTTGATATCGTTTATGATAAATTCAAGACTTATTTAAAAGAGGGAAAAAAATGACAGAAAAATATTTATTGAATTTTGAAATGATAAATAGGTGATTTTTGACAGATTTTGACTTGTCAGAATCATTATAAAAGTAGTCAAAAATATTAGAAAAGTAGTTAGCATGATTTGTTTATCTTTTTAAAATTCAATAAATATTTTTCTATCATTTTTTCTTAAAAGAAATTAAGTAATCAAAGGTTTGGTTGATAGTGCTTCATTTTTTATGAATTCTAGACCCAAACAAAGAAAATAAAAAGTTATCAGAGCACCTTTGCCCCAGCAAAGGAAACTTTACCGCAACAAAGTTTAAATTTTAGCAAAACACTGTGTTTTGAATTTACAGCATATTAGGGCTAGGGCAGAGAGGGAATTCGACATTAAACCTAGGAACAGAGAGAACGACCTGGAGCGGTGCCTTGAGAGCTATATAGTGCTAGGGCTTGGGAATCTCGAAGGTTTTGGAGATTGGGATTAGATGATTGAAGAGATTTGGTCCTCTTTCTTAGGTTTTTTCTAAACTTCTCTTCATTGTTCTCTCATTTTCTGATATGGACATGGAAGTTATAGATATTTCTTGCTCTTTTCTTACTATGAGCACCTAAACCTTTTGTTTTAGGATTACTTGAGCCATGGTATGGGTTGAAACTCATTTTATGATCTTCTCTTAGTGTTAATGGTATCTATGTGTTGGTTTTGCCTTGAATCTAATACTTCTAAGTGCTCTATCACCATTTAGATAGATTTGCTCAATTGATGTTTGAGAAAGCTATTTTGGTTGTAGAACTTCAGTAAAATCATACTAGACCTAAAATATATGCATTAAATAGATGGTTTGTTAGTAGAGTAGCAATATATCTATTAACCTAACATTGTCAAATATATTTGACTGGCATATATTACCATTTTATCACTAATTGAGGGGAATTTATTGAGTTTCCAGAAGTGCATTAGTGAAAAGTAATCCTAGGTTCCACTTGTCTTGAAAACAAGGTTTCATTTTAGTTCTCTCCACAATATTTTAATTTTAAATCAACTGATTTTTCTCGGATACAAACCTTTCCAATTTCATTTATCTATAAATCTTACAATAATTTTTTAAATTTTCAGCAACTACTAACTATCTTTTTTAAAATTTCCTTGTTAATTAGTATTATGTACTAATAAAATGATGTTTCATAAAAAAAAGTATTTATTCTCATTTTACAAATTTAGTCTTGTCAAATAATGTTTCATAAAATGTCACTTATAACGTAATATGTAAGATATAAAATCTAAAAGGCAGTAAATTAATCGTGATTAGTTCAAGTCGATCTAGTTTTTCAATCCTTGGGACTAATGGAAAATGACATTGACTATTAACTCTAGATTAACTTTGGGTTAAAAACCCTTTTTGCACTTAAAGTATTAATGGAATACTTGGTAGTTGGTAGCTTACTTCTTTTCATCAAAACGAAGCATCATGTTTAAAGTGTCACATGTTTTGCCAACTAGGTATTTAACGTTAGGGGGGAAAAAAGATCTATCAATTGGGATTAACAATCAATTAACAATGTAGAGTCACAAGTTATATTTCTTCCTATCTTTAATATAAAAACTTGTTTGATTTTTATTTTAATCCTAAATATAAGACTCAAATTTATTTTATCTCTCATATTTACCTATTTTTTCTAAGATAGTTCTTATAATAATAGTGGTTCTAGCCAATATATGTAATTGGTAAGAATATTTTAACAAAGACAGCACATATTTATTACAAATAACTAATTTAATTAGTTTTTTTAATTTACTCAAATTAGTCAACTAAAACTTTTTTATTAATGAATACCTAGTTCACTAAAAATAATAATAATAATAATACCTAGTTGACAGGTCATTTAAATACCTAAGCCTAGTGCTTCCTTTGTACTAGTGTTTGATGATTGTGTCACATAGGAGTGTGCATGAGGCCCGCATGCGTAATATGCCCGCCTGAGCATGCCCAAAAAAAAATAAAACTCAGCCCAGCCCAACAAAAAGTTGCCCAAACAAAAGTGGGCATTTTTGGACATGGCTGATTCCCAGGCATGGTCGAGCTGCGGGCAGGGTATGCTGCCTGCACATTTGGCTCTATCCAAAAAAATATATTATTATATATTATAATATATAATATTATATTATTTTCAGTAATTATCCCTTTTTATTTGGCTAAAAAATTAGGTAAAATTAGAAAAAATGAAAGGAATATAAAAATTATAATTGTATAAAAGAACCAAATATAAAATTAAATATACTAAATTGCTCCTAGTCAAATTTCCTTCTTTTCCTCCCACCTACAATTTTTTTTTTTAAAAAAAACAACTTTCAAATCTTGTGCCTTCACGTGACGCTATAACAATCTGCCAACTATATAAATAAACTAAATAATTGAACTATAAAATTAGCTCAGTTATTAATTATTTTAATTATTAAATATTTTTTCCCTCCCATAAGAAATCGAAGGCTGAAGAACAAAACTACATAAGCCTTACTTATATGAGTGATTTAGTTATTCGTGATAAATTTTTTTCTACATATGATATGAGCAAGATGTCACTAAGTTAGGCAGGATAGCCCGTCCTGCCTAGCCCGCCGTTACCCAGCCCAAAATAATTAGGGTTTCTACTGGGTAGGGACAGGTTTTGCGGACCGCTTATCTTTCGGGTTGAGCATCAAGCAGGAGGTTTGTCCTGTTCAGCTCTACCTATGTACAGCCTTAGTGTCACACACATACTTTCTAGAGTCTTCGGCTCAAGTGACACCCCCTCAACCCGTTCTGCATATTCACGTGAACGAGATTTTGCGCTCCATGTAATAAAGCGGCAAAAGTGGGAGTATGTGGGTCTCACCCCAGTGAAGTTAAATTGTCTAGATAAAAAATTAAAATAAAATTTGTAAACAAAGCTCTGATTTTTTTTTTTTTTGGGTCAAAAAAAGACAATAGGTACACCAATTAAAACCATCGCGAAGATCGGTAAAACATGAACCATCTAACAATTAACTAATTTAAGTGTAAGACCTAATAAGGATTAATCATCTTAACATTCTAAGCCTAGGATTAATTTTAAAAAATTAATAACAAAATAGGTATTAAGCAATATTAACTCTCTCAAGAGTATATTTTGGCATCAGAGGTACTGTCTTTCCAGGATGATACCCAAAAGATGCCTCTACCAAAGAGTGAAAAAAGAAAAGGAGTAAAGCCTCGTCACATTTGGTAGTTTTTTTTTGGTCCAACACATTTGGTAGTTTACCCCCAAAACTACACCCTTTTTTTTTGAATTTTTAATAATTAAAAATCCATCCTTTGGTAGTTTACCCCCAAAAGAGGGGAGGACGAATTTTTTTTGAAAAAAAATCCATCCTTCTAAAATACTTTTTCAGCTTGAGATTCTAAATTATTTTTTAATACAATTAATATTCTAAAATATTTTTCTAACAATGTTCATGTATCTTAAAGTATTTTTCAGTGACATCAAGTATACTAAAAAGTCTTCAGTAACACCCAATACCTAAAATCTATCACGCAGGTTTTTTTCAGTAGCATTCAGAATTCTAAACCAATTTTTAGAACATTCCGAACTTTAAAATACTTTTTTAGCAAAACATAGTACTCCTTCCGTTCCTTATTATAAGAAATATTTGATGCTTATGGCATGTTCCTATATATAAGAGACACTTAAAAGTTGTCTCTACTTTTTTGTGTTGATTTCCTATTTTACCTATATTTATTATCTCCAACTCACACTTTCTCTCCCTCCCACTTCTCTTTCTTTTAATAATTTAATTGTTCTCTCTCATGCTCTCTCTCCTTATTCATAAAGACATTTTTGAAAAAAAATTATACTTTTTACACATTACTTGTTCTTAACTAATTTTAACTGTTTTTTTTATCAACGTACTTCGATTAGTTGTCTCTTATAATAAGGAACGAATGGAGTATCTTAAAATAATTTCTGAGGCAATATTTTATAATGCTGAATATACTAAATTTAGTCTAAGATATTGATTATTATTATTAAAAAATACTTCAATCTCAATATTACTAAAAAAAATTTTAGAATTCTAAATAAATCAGAAGTGATTTTAAGATGCTAATTGTCATTTGGAAAGCATCTTAGGATGTCAAGTTTTAGATATTGAGTATGATTAAAAAAAAATATTTTAAAATATTGATTGTACTAAAAATTAATTTAAAATATTTAGTACCACAAAAAAAATATTTGAGAATGATAGATTTTAAAAAATTAAAAAAATAATTCATATTCCTCCTCTTTGTATTCCAAAACGAAAAGATGGCAACGGACTGCTAGGGGGAAAAGGGGCAGACAACCGCGTCCTTGGCTTGGGAATCGCGAAAGATTTAAATAGAATAAAATAAAAGCTCGTATCAAAATTCAAAGCAAAAAGCAATACGCCAGCACATGAACTGATGGACTCATTTTCATTTGCTTAGCAGGGAAGTGTCACTTAAAAAAAGATAAAGACTCTTTTACCATTTTGAATTCGTACATTTAAAGATAGTTTGAATTAGGGAGAATTACAGTTAAATTCTATTAAAAAAATATAAAATAAGTTCTAGAGGTTATCAATCTTTTTGTAATTATTTTTCACTTGATTGTAATTCTCTGTTTAAATCATGCACAGCCTCATATCAAGATTTTTAATTAAATTATATGATTTTAATTATGATCGGTCGTTAATTTTGATTTTACACAAATCACATTAAGAGAGTGTTTGAATATAAACCAAACTATAATTTTAAAAGTATTTTTACGATTTACAAAGTAAATATGTGAAGGAATTTGTCTTGAAAAGGGCTTTCTAGAAGCATTTTTTAGTATTCTCAAACACTCCAGCCGGTAGATTCTGAGATTCATCGGTAGGATTTTAATATTTCCGGAAGAAAAATTTGCTCTCCTAATTTTTCTTTCCTTATTCAAACTTTCTTTCTAATTTCCTTTCCATCCCGAGTACAGGTAAATCAAGGCGAATACAAGCAGATCCAGAAAAGAAGAAGCCGTAGTAGTTATTACCTGAAATGAGTGGACAGTGTGACGCCGGATTGCGAAGCAGCTTCAACGGCGATTCCAATCCAGTCCAAATCCCTGAATCGTGTCGCCAGATGCTCAACCACTTCCTTTTGTTTGACTCCCCAGAATACAGGAACCACCGGTCTATTCATAGATCTGTGACACTCCATTACGTTCTGCAGCCTCTCAAGAAATAATTTGTCGGAGACGCTAAGGAATTCTGGTGTGAAAATAACCATGAGAATTCTCGACCTTTCCATGGCCTCCAGTGCGGAAGACAGAGACGCAACCATCGTTGAAGAGTATATACAGTCTGCAAAAAGTTTGATGGTATCATCTCTTAGAGATCCTACCAGATTCCGAAAGTCTGGAAGGCGATGTCGGGTGACTTGGGAAATTGCGAAGACGTCGTAGTAGGAAGTCAATTTGGGTTTGGAGGACGAAGAAACCAAGGAAGACATAGTTGCTGTAGACGAAGGTAGGAACTCGGACTTGGCTCAACTGGCAGACAAATAATGGACCCGTCGATGTAAATAGAACAAAGTTCTTCCGTCCAAAAAAAAAAGAAAAAAAGGAGAAAGTTCAACTTTTGTTTTTCCTGAAAAAGAAAAATACTGGGAGAATGAAATAGACAGATTGACAGAAGGACCATGGAAGGAATTCGGACAACGTATAATTGCAAAGAAGGATCCATTTTTTCAAAAAAAATAAATGGGTAAAATGGCCTTCATGTTCGTACCGTTAACACGTGTCAATTGTAAATTGCGAAAAATCAACTGCAGGTCATGAAAAGCTTAGATGGAAATCTTAAATATTACTCCTCCTGTCTTTAATATAGACCTAATTATTGAGTTGATTTTCGTTCTAAATATAAGTCTCATTTCTCATATTTATCAATTTTCTCTAAATTATCCCTATAGATATTTCCTCAACCATAATCAAGTAGAAGAGAGGGACGGGTAAGAAAGATGATTATGGTGTTTTAGGAAAAACGTGTCATATTTTTTATACTTAGCTAACTTAGCTAACTTTCTTAATTTAATCAAATTAGTTAAATGAGTCTTATATTAAAGATTGGAGGAGTAATTGTTAATTAACCGTTAATTATGAGTCCAATGTCCCAACATTTAAGAAGTTGACCGGATAATCATCATCTAGTTTTTAAAATTCAGCATTTCAGATTTTATTAGATATTTTCAGGCCCCTCATTAATTTTATTGCAGCAATTTATTTACAACCTTAACAGTGGCTGTTGACAACCCGAGAAGAGGTGGTTGACAACCTTTACAGTGCTCCTGACAACTCACTCTGTGGGATGCCAGAGCCATTGCCGAGGTTGTTAACCACCTCTCCTCGGGTTGTCAACAGCTACCGTTGAGATTGTAAATGAATTACATTTGGTTCAAATTGATGGGGGTAAATAGGTAATTTCACAATTACAATTAATTATACACAGGTCTCTGGGGACTTAGTAATCATTTCGGGATTTCCAGGAATTTTTTTAAAATTAATTATCTTCTCTGGGACCTGAGTGTAATTTTCCCATGTTTTTTTTACGCACCTCCGCAATTCATTTATTTTGACTTCAAGTGGTGGATGTAAATTATTTTGAAGGAGATTTTTTTTTATTTAGGTATTGAAAACATTTTTATTTATATAACGACAGACTTTCCACAAAATATACATGAACATCTGTTTAAAAAGAAATGATATTTATTGAATTCCAAATATGATAATTTAATAATATTTACTTAGGCTCCTTAGAGTATTCTTAAGGCTTAGAGTAGTTTTAGAGTTGTTCTGAGTGGTGTAGTAATAAATATTGTGTTGTAATTTTGTAAACTGCCATTGAGGAATCTAGAGTGACTCTTGTTAGGACACCAGGTAACTCCTTTCTTATTTGCCTCGCTTATTGGGACTATTAGTGAGCTTTGTGAAGATCCCAGAATGAAAATTTAGCTAACGATTGATATATTGGACTTTTAGCCTTTATGAAACTGCTCGGTGGAACAAATATTTCTTCAAGATACTGTATGATGTAAACTAAGTTGTTTAGCCTTTATTATAATAACAGTTTGGTCTATGAATTGTGTGAGATCTATTGTGCTGAGAAGTAGTTGTTTAAACTAATTAAATGGTAATTAAGATTAACTAATTAATTGTTATTAAGGGAGGAGGTTTGTGATGGCGAAATGATATTTGTGACCATATGGCATGGCCTGCTATATGGTGCTCTGTGGTTGGCCACTTTCTTTTATCGAGGCAGCATGCCCCAGGCTTGCGACACTAATAGTTCATATCTGAGCTGCATCTCCTACTAGAGGAACCTGTAGCCCCTATGTGCTCTATTGACTTTGGTTGGTCCGCATCACACTGATGGGTAGCAATCAGCTCATGGGTTCACGTCGACGGGAATAAGGAGGAAATAAGTTTGGAACTAATAATAAACTAAAATGTGAAATTTCATTATTTGTATAAACTGTTGTCTTGCTATACCTTGGATTGTTATAATTATAGCTCTACTATTGTAATAAACACATTGTGATATACTTGAACCATTAATCTAATCACCTGGTTATCCACTTGAATAACGAGTTCCACCTGGCATCTCATAGGTGGTGTCAGCAGGTAAGGGGATGGAACTGAGTTACTGAGACGTTTTGTTTCATCCCATTACTTTTATCACTTTTCAAGTGAAAGTAGTGGGGGAGGCGCATCAAGAAAAGTTTTGGAGGCATGAGGCTACTCTTATGAGCAGTTAGCCTTCCGTAATTGTTACGCTTTGATTTACTGTTAATTGCCACCCAAGATACTTAGACTGATCTTCATTCATCTAGTTAATTTGGGAAACTGCATGTATTATGATCTTATCGTTACTAAACTGGACTATACTTGATTAATAGGCTTAAAATTGTTGGATTCGTTTATATTATTATTATTATTATTTTATTTGTTTATTTGTAGATCCACAAGAATGTGAATAGTTTCATTCAAATAAGTGAAATTTTTCTGTTGAGATAGTGGCCTGAGGCACTTTTATGAATAGTGAATATGATATAACTATGTCTACCAGGTGCTTATGATTCTTTCTACAATCATGTTAGGTGGGCAGCATCCCTTCCTAACATGGTTAAGATAGTAATAAATTATTGCCAAAGGGTAATATCCCCTTCCTCAGAACTTATCTAATTTCTTATTAGTAATAGATAACAGTTACCCTTTTAATAACTATGATAGATTGATGTATAAGTTGTTCTTTTTCTATCATGGTTATTGTTTTAGAAAGAAAATTTCTGGTTTGTTTCTTTTATTATTGTCACATCAGATACTATGACTATATATGGGGCTAAGTTTAGTTTTTTCAAGGCAGGTCGTTTCATTAACAGTTTTCTTAATTCCACACCCTCAACTTTCATTAACTTAATTATTTGGATCTTATAATAAGAGACAACGGGAGTATTTAGTGTGAAGTAATCCCTCATTCATTTTTATAAGGGATAGTTAATCGAGTCAAAGTGATCAAAAAGTTGGTTAAAGTTGATTAGAGAAAATAAATATGTAAAAACTATAATTTTCCTTAAAAATACCATTTATTTAAGAGGAGAGATAATATAATAGATGATAAAAAAAAATTAGGCCAAAATACTCATAACCCTCCCCAATTTTAGGTGATTATTATAAAACCTGTATAATCTTTAAAAGTTTAAATTCCACACTCTCAACATTCAAATTTTGACGATGAGACTCTTACTGTTAAAATGACCATTAAATCTAACCAAATGAATGTCACATCATATTATTAAAATTATGTGGTAAATGGCATATAATTTTTATTATCTTATTTATTTATTGCTAAAGGGTATTTTGATGATTTAACCTATAATCATTCCTAGCACAGCTCTCCCGAATTCGGCAATCATCTTGCTCTAACTGCCTCTCACAACCTGCGAGTCCTCTCCACCATATCTACTCTATCAGTGATGGTAGCTTCTATCATTCACTTTCACATAAGGCTGCTGTTGTTTAATGTGCCCTCGCATATCACTTCTTAAAATAAAGTTCTCAAATATAAATGAATAATGTGATGGAAATGGGAAGCATAATGACAATTTTTGAAATGAGTAAGAAGATCAGAAAATCAAAGGAAACGGTGCAGATAAGGAGGCGGACTTGCAAGGCAAAAAGAGATGATAGCGCATTCATTAAACAAACAATTTCAGAATTTATAAAAAAAAAAAAAGGGTTCCTGATTTAAAGAAATAAGGTGTTGAAGATGATTTGTGTAATGATGAATAGGACTAGACGATGAATCAAATGTTGTGATGAATGAAGAGCACCTGCAAGTTGCAGAATTATATGAGGCTGAGAAAGCAAGACAATGACGAAATCTGAATGCTGGGAATTATTATAGGTTAAATTACCAAAATGCCCTTTAATATAATTATGAGCTTTGGCCCAAAATCAATTAATAAAATAATCAAAATTACATGTGATTTGCCACATAATTTTTAATAATATGACATGGCATTAATTTCGTCAGATTTAACGGTCATTTTAACGATATGGATCTCATGCTCAAAATCTGAAAGTTGAGGGTGTGGAATTTAAACTTTTAAAGATGAGAAATGCTTTATGCAACTCACCTAAAGTTGAGGGAGATTATGTGTGTATTTTGGCCAAAAGATTATTAGAATAAAGAGGATTGTGGAACAAAAATAATGTTTGAGTGAAGAGAGAATATTAGTGAAAGAAGAAATGATGCTTCAAGGCCATGTGATAATAAATGAGTTATTTACACATCACATCATTAATTGTTTAGTATGAATATAATATTTTACTGTTCATTTAGTATCGTATGGATTGTTATGAAAACTGTATACTAGTATATTAAATAGGAATAAAGTTAAAAAGTTGCTAAATTCTAAGATAAAAATAGTGAGAATGAGATTTAAAACTTTTATTTGTTCTAGTGAAACATATTGAAAAATAACTTATAAAGAAAGGCTGCAAGCATTTTTTTTTCATGAAATTAAAACATGTAACTT